TGAACGAAATGAGAAGATCCAGAGTATGGTGGGGCCACCAGCACTCAATGAAAAGGTATGAAAGCCGTGGGTTCTACTACATGATATATGATTAAACAATCCGCAAATAATGCAAGCACACCAAGCCCTGTTATGGGTGGAGAAAACGCAAAACTAATCTAGCTTCATAGTGAAAGAAAGAAAGACCGAACATAACATATAGTTTTAAAGTAAAAGAGATGAAAACTTTAGGACCATTTTTCCAAAAAAACAAGAGCTTTGCGTTTTTGTTGATATGAATATGGAGGTATTTGCTTAAAAATTAGATCAGAGAGCATAAACCTTTACCTGTTGCCAGTAATTCTCTTGTCATTACGAACTTTGAATTCGGCGGCTTCCCTCCAACAGCCAGGCAGACATGTGCTTACCACCTTTTCGATGGTCAAATGGATTCGCGTACCTTGTGGGGACTAAAAACACGGTAGCTATAGATTTAATTTTACTCAAAATGGAATTGGAATGTAAAGTTAATAAAAAGTGGGACTTCGGTCAACAGTGGCAAGAGATAGCTGAAGTGGCGATTTCAAAAGAGATGTAGACTGTGGATGCAACACAAAACGCTGATTCTAAATCTGGTTTTCGTATCTGTCAAACATTTCCCTGGAAAAAGTTAGGAAGTTATTTTTCAAAAAAGTGATTTAAAGTGCTTAGAGATATTCGCTCTTAGTCTTCAACTTTAGCGTAGAACAGAGATGCAAGAGGCTATCTTTGATGGAAATAAACCATCAATGTTCACCGTTGGTGTTTTTGATCAAATTTGACTTTGTAGCATCTTTCATGGGCTTACGCCATCTTTGGTAGAGGAAAAGGACCAAAACTTTCCACATGTGGAACACTGACCATGAATAAGCGTGCTGCATAGAGCAGTGCACGTCGCTCTCTGAGTCGCCACCTCGACTAAGTTACCTTACTTGTGACTCATCAAATTATGTAGGAAATAATTTCCTGATAACTTATTTACTTGCCATTATATGATAGAAGCAGGTTCTAGGTTTGTTTCCCGCGTTCGTTCGTCTTGCTATCGTCAATTTCATACGTCGTGGTAGTGCTTTCGCGTGAAGTTTTCCACCACATCTGCGAATTGATGGTCCCTGGGGACGAGCGCAGCGGGCTCCACCATAACCAGATGGGCATCTGGATGTCAGAAATTTTTTTTTGAAATATTTGCCGAGATTGCTTTGGTTGAAAAGCGCTTACAAACAGCTCCCACATCTGCGTGAATCTTGAATTCCACCGTTATCACATCGTATTCGGAACGGACATTTGTCTGGAATACGAGCTCTTTAGTATGAAATATCATCGCACTTTCAATCTCTTACATAGATCTGTTAATGGACTGCTGGAACAACTTAATGTTTACTTGCTTGGAACTTACTTTGACAAGCATAATGAAGATTCATTATCTGTACATCTCGATATGACGGTCCTGCCAATTGCCCCATATTACCCTGCTCATTGATATTCACAGCAACCATAGAAGGGACAGTAGGATCAACAGAGAACCTTGATAATACTAGGTATTCCTGACACGTGTGAACATAAAAAGGAAAAACTTACTCAAATGGCGTGTACTGCATAATGCTTCCTATGTCATAAGAAGTACCGTATACTCTCATTTCTTGTGGACTTACCTGCAAGTAATATCTCGAATGCAAGTAATATCTCGAATGGTTGAGCATGGATATGAGAAAATTTTACTCCCTCATTTTCATCCTTTATTTCTGTATACCGCATAGACAGCATGCTGCCTTTTTTTGAAGGATAAGCAAATTATAGAATATGTGGTTTGCTAGTAGTTCTTGCTAGTTCACATAACAAATCATTCGGTATTTTACAGTACATTTTCAATAGAAGAATCGATGCATCTATAAAGAAAAAACCCTGGAATTCTAAAAAAAACTGTTAACGATATTTTTTCTTTCCATTTCAAAGATTGCGTAGTTGCACTGCTAAATTGAATCGAACTAAAAATTACTCAGGAGCTGTAGTCTCTTTACTTAGCAATCTCTTCCGTAAAATGAAAGTTGCAAATCAGTGCTTTTGCAGTGAAAAGTGATTCAAAATTTGAAGGATTAATGAATGTAATTGTTCGCAAAAGCAAGAGATTTGGATTGAACTTATAGATACATTCGATATTACCTATTTAAAAAGGATTAGGCTTTATTACATTGAAGATGCTGAAGGAACTCTTTGTCCTCACATTTATCTATACGTATGTTCTCTTGCTTTTTGAAATAGCTATATAAAACTTATTTAATCATTAACTGCGACGAATGTTATAATATGCAAAAAGCTATGCGCACACGCTGTTTTTTTCTCCTCACGGAACTTTTCGGAAAGTGCTGATAATTTTGTTAATGGTGTGATATGTTAGGCATATATACGACTACTTTTATTTGATACCGCACGATCGTCATTTGCTAAGGCGCGCTTTAGAAAACAATTTGAGCCAAAATTACCAGCTCATTTTTTCCTTTGCTTAC